ATGCTAGTTGATTTAGCAGAAATTGTATGCCTCAAATTATAGCTAAATCATGGTTATGAGAACAAAACTCCCAAATAAGATTTGGTATGAGATAATTTTATTTAACATGTAGCAACACATGTATGCATCAAACCAACAAGGTTTCCCCATTAAAATTGGTTCAGGGTCAGGAACCATATAATTTTCATCTAAAATGTTGAATGTGCGGTTATGATTTTAATTGCTCCACCACGCACAAAGATGAACTTCCAAATAAGGTTGGAATGAATGTTAGATTTTCTAACATTCGGGGGAGAAATGATTGACAGCTGAAAATTATGTGTGAGGTTAATTATGAATTATCTAAATCCTCGTCAAATAAATATGTGAACTTAAAGTTCAAGGGATAATTCAGTTACATAATATTGCAAATCAGTTGCCAGATGAATGCACTGACCCTATGATATAATTCAGCTGCAAATGCTTCAGTGTGAAGTCCTTGAAGGACAGAGTTTATAATACGCCGGAAGCGTAATTGACCAATCGATTCCAAATATGAAATTCCTTGAAGAAGGAAGGAGCAAATGATCAATATGGTCATGATAATGAGGCAAGCGCTATAAAAGAGCACATTGACATAACACTTCATAAAATCTTGAAAAAGGTTCAGGTACCTGAAATAATGAAAAATGAAGAGATCTCGATAAGTTATGTCTTGTTGAAATGGATATCAAATAACCGTCGACGGTATCTTTGATATGGGTAGCGCTCAATGATATAAATTGTGACGAGGATCTTCAATTCAAATCTGTCATATAGTGTGGATAGATAAATGGTTGGCCAAGTAAAATGCATAATTCAAGTATATTTTGTTTCACTTAGAAAAGTGACATTTTGGACTGGTAGTCCATAAATCAAGGTATAATGTCAGTGGGGTACAAATAAATAATTATGCGATAGTATAACCGTAATATATCAAATACGGTTTGTGCCTTGGGGCATAAAGATTTATCACAAAAATCCTGACATTATTGGAGATGTTTTCTCTTTTGGTGGATGCAATGAGGTTTGTTTTGATCTGGCGAAATATGAAAACTTGAATGCATGTAATGAATAATTGTAATGTCTAGTTAGACAATGAAGGTTATATGAAAATCCTTGAAACAATCGAGGTGTCTGAAACATATAAGAGTTTGAAAGAAACTTTTCCAATAAAGCTTCAAGAATCCTTATATGGATTGAAATTGTCAAGGAAGAAAAAGGGTACAAAAGAATGACCCTAATAGTCCTTGTATTTTTATGAAAAGGTCTTGGTAAGACAAAATTTTGTCTTGACCTACAGATTGATAATTTGACAAATGAAATATTTGTCTAATAGTGCACATACACTGAAAAGTTTTGATGCAATTATATATGGATAAATCGCATTCATTGAGTACCCCAATGATTATGAGATCACTTGACATAAATGATGATTCAGTTTGATCTCAAAAGAAGGATGATGAGTTTCTTGGTGAAGAAACTCTATCTTGGTGCAATCAGGGCACTAGTGCATCTTACTAACAATATTTGACTAGATATTTGTTTTCCAGTAAATTTACTGGCAAGATTCAGTTTCTCCCCAATAAAAGGACATTGAAATGGTGTTGAACACATGATTGAATATCCTCGAAGGACCATAGTTATGGCTTATTCTATTCCAAGGAATCCAAGATAAAATTGATTGGTTATGCAGATGCAGAATATTTATCTGATCTGCATAAAGTTCTATCTCAATCACGCTATGTGTTTGCATGTGGAGACACAATAATATCCTGGGGATTAATGAAGCAAATGTTGCTCTGCAGAAATAAAAGTCCTCCATGAAGCAAGTCAAAAGTGCGTATGGTTGAGATAAATGACACACCATATTCAAGAAATGTGTGGTTTTTCTTTTAAAAAAAAGAATATACCAACCACAATGTACGAAGATTGGAGACATCATCACAAGAAATTAAGTGATATTTTAATCAGGGGGAGTACAATACGTGTTGCACTCTTTTTCCCTTGATCGAGGTTTTTTCCCACTGGGTTTTCCTGGCAAGGTTTTTAATGAGGCAACAAATGGTGCGTATCAAAAGATATGTGTACTCTTTTTCCTTCACTAGAATTTTTTCCCACAGGGTTTTTCCTAGTAAGGTTTTAACGAGGCACATTATCTATGGACATCCAAGGGGGAGTGTTATAAATTTATTGAATGAGTGGATAGTCCATAAGGTTGGTACATGAACAACCATTCATATTCACTAGGTTACATGAACCTTTTTGGATAAGAATGTATTTATTTATTATGATACTTAATATGGTGACCTTTGGAGTGATTTCTCACTCTATAAATAGGGTTGTTTATTCACTATTGCAATATATACATATGAGACTTGAATACACTTGAATAAGAAGAAAATTATCTACATCTCTTGTCTTCTTCTCTTTATGGTTATATCTCTTATGATCTTGATTTTATAACAATAAATGAAATCTAGAGATCAATATTTTTTCATAATCTTATAAATAATAATAAACAAGTAACTTTTCGTCACAATTTTCCAGCCAATATTTTTAATATTTTAGTGTCTTATAAATGACAATAAGCAAGCAGTTTTTCTTTAACATGACTTGGGTTTCATAAGGATTTTATTGTAATTACAATAAATTGATGTAATTTTATTGATTACATCAATTTTTAATTTCATTCTACTTAATTCATATAACGAAAATAGATACTTCATTATTTTTGTTCATTATAATATTGCAAAAATATTAATTTTTTCTTATATATATTACTTTCAAAGTATTAAATAACTATATTATTTTTTTCGAAATTTACAAACAATTTACAACCTCTGTCACAATCTTTGTCATGTCGTGAACACTGTGTCACAATCAACAAGCTTGCTGCAAGGAATTAATTAAATGTAAATAGTTAAATTCAATCCAATTAATTATCATATCAATTTCAGTTGATAGTGAAATCAGCCAATTGATAACACCAAGTACATAAAGATTCCAAGTAGAAAAGGACATAACATAATAAGAAGAAATGTCATTTTGAACGCGCTTTATGAGTAATGTTAGTTAACAATTAATAGCTTGTACCAACCACTTTTTAAAAATACCAAAAAAAAGTAATTTAAAAAAGGGAAAATGCACAATTACCCTTCAACCTAAGCCCGAAATTCCAGACAACACTTATACTAAACTAAGGTCCTATTACCCCTTTGAACTTATTTTAAAAGTAATTTTCTATCTCTTTTCAGCCTACGTGACATTATCTTTTTTAAAAAAGTCAACCAACAATGGGCCCACAAAATAGTGCCACGTAGGCCGAAAAAGGGTAGAAAATTCTTAATAAAATAAGTTCAGGGGGTAATAAGACCTTAATATAGTATAAGTATGTCTTTGAGATTTCGGGCATAGATTGAGGAGGTACTTGTGCATTATCCCTTAAAAAATGACAAACGTATAATTATTTTTAGAGCCTACTTGGATTGGCTAAAAAGTTTTAATCAAATCTACTTTTAATTTTTTTTTTAATTTAATATCTTTAAACTAATGGAACGGAATAATATATTATATAGTATCAAATGAAGAAGAGCACAAGGAATGTAGGGCTCCACACAATGTGGACATTCACATAATAATTCATGTCCACATAAAGAGTGAAAATAATTGACCTATGAAAATTATTTATGGTTAGAACATATTGAGAACTATATATATATATATATATATATACACACGCAAATGATTTATAGATATACAAATGTTTGTAACTTGTTTTATATCATAAATTTCAAAAAAATAAATAAAAAATCTCAAATTTTATATTCAGTCAAACACCAACCCATAAACTAAAATACAAATAGTAAATAGGTAAAATTATGAATTGTGAACAATTCGACAATAATATCTAGTATCATCTATCATCTCATGATGGTAGTGTACTAATAAAGAATTTGGTAAATGTTTTTGTTGTATAGAATAAATGTATAGATGAATATACAAACATGTGCTAATATACACAGAATTGATCTTCACTGATAAATTAGCTTATATATATGAAAAAAATATGAATTTTATTTTTAGTATCAAATTCAATTTTAAAAATGAAAATGCTATATGAAACAGGTTAAAGTCTTCATGAATTTATAAAAGTTGATGTTAAAAAGCATGAATAATAGGAGATATAGTGTTGTTGTTAGGCCGTTAAATCCAATAGCTAGTAATGTCATTGGGCTGTTCTTGGACCTTGTAGAGAAATAAAGTTTATGCCCAGATTGCTCTTATTTTGGGTGATTTATCCTTACTTATGAATGACTTTAAAAGAAAATATTTTCGTTAAATTTAACTAATATAAATTGTTAGATATCTATCGAAGACTAAACATGTTAATTTTTTACAAACTTAAAAAATAAAATTATTAAGTGAGTAGTGAGGGACTATTTTCAACTTTCCTCAAAGTGAACCAAAAACTATTCACTGTGCATTTAGGGGCCCTTTGGTTATTTATGACAAGAGTTGTGCACTTATATAATAATTATGCAGATATTAGTTATATTGGTATTAATTATTTAAATATTAGTTATATAAGTATTTGTTTAGTTATATGAAAATTACATGAGTTAGTAACTAGTAAATATAGAATTTAATATAAATTAATATATTATTTACAAATAACTAGTATAAATTCTCTCTACAATTTTTTATACTAAACTAATACACTTTTTATTATTATATGATTTAATGAAGTAAAACATATGTTAATTAATAAAAATTAAGTAAAATGGATTGTAAATCTAAACGTATAACGTATATATATTGAATTGATGTAAACACTCGATCTAATGCAGATAAGTTTTACTTTTTTTTTCTCTATTATTTTTTAAAACATATTTAAAGCTTATAAATAGATATAAATTGATCATCAAAGTAGATCTATATATTGAATTGAGCCTCATAAAAATACAATAATAATTAAAAAGTAATAAAAACAAAATATTTATTATTGGTTATTAAATATAATTGGGAGGACATGGCTTTTTGCAATAGCATATAGAGTCACTACACTCTCCAAATTGAAAGCCCTCACTTTGGCAGGCACTTGTACACTTTGCCTGTTCTACACATGGTCCCTGGAATGTTTTGCTTGGTTGTTGACAAATATTTGCCTCTGTTAAAATAAAATATTAGTAAGAATTTTAATAAAATAAAAAAGAAAGAAGAACGATAAGTTTGACTAATACATATTCATGTTACATAAGATTTATATATATTCTTTATAGATTAGATCTAAGACCTTTAATTAAAGGTGAAGAGTTCTCATATATCTATTTCACCATACATATATCCACTGAGGTTAAATTCATAATTTTTCTCGACTAGTTTTGATTCGCGATATACTTTTTTGCAAGACTCAAAGATATTTTATATCGCAATTAATGCTCAACTATATCTGAATTGACAAGATCCAGAATACCCCTACAACAATTTATATTGGTGATTTGCGATATAGTATATTAATTGAATAATTATTCGAAAGTAGAAAGAATATATAAATTTTAAAAACATACATTTCTTTTTATCTCTTTTATCATATTTGATTAGTAAAAAGATGCATAAAATAAAGAGAAGATATACCTGCATTGCCCATGAAAAATAGCACAAGAAGAATCACAATTTTAAACAAAGACAGAGTGGCTGCCATTTTTTTGTGTGTGTGTTATTTCTTCAAAATGTATTTTTGATAATGAAAATACATGAAGCACCATGCTTATCTTATATAGTATTAAGAAATGATTTACTGACTATTTTTTTTAAAGAGATTGCCTTAAATTATTTGGATGGTAAATCTTTTTACATTAATGAGTTTCCATCCTTTTAATAATTTGGATAGAAAATCTTTCATATTTTCTTTTTTGAGGTTTTAAAATAATAATAATAATAAAAGATATATAGACGGCCTAATGTAACACTTTGCACCCACGTAACCATATTTTCAGTTTAAATCTGTATATTTTTAGAAAAAAGATAATTGTATATATTAGCAAATTAATAACCTAAAATAAATAGAGTAGCTACTGTTGAATTTAATTGTGCCCATATTAAATGTTTGCCAAAGTTTGCCAGTCGTCTCTCTCCCAAAACTCTCGCTCGCCACTCTCCCATTCTCGCTCGCTACTCTCCCTATGCTCGTCTCTCTCGCTTTATACGACAGAAGTGTATAAATTGTGTTTCCGTTTTGTATAAAGCGAGAGAAAATTGAATATACACATGCAAAAACATATATCTTCGTGCTATACACTTAATTATACAATTTACAAATATTTTACTTCGCTTTAATTGTATACAAATGCAAATTTTATACAAAAGCGAAAAAGGCCAACGAATTATACAATTGCAGTGAAATACAATTTTCGCTTGCTTTATATAACATATGTGCATGAATTGTGTTTCTGTTTTTGTATAAAGCGAGAGAAAAACATATATCTTCTTCATGTATATTATAATTATATAATATACAAATATTTTACTTCGATTCAATTGTATGCAAAATAAATTTTATACACATAGTACAACGAAATAGGCCAACGAATTATACAATTGCGCATTACACAATTGCAATGAAATAGGCCAATAAATTTTACAATTGCGGCGAAATAGACCAGCGAATCATATAATTGTATATGTATAGTGAGGCCAGCAAATTATACAATTTAGGCAAGCGAATTATACAATTATATATGTATAGCGAATTATACAAACTTTGTTATAACATACAAATATAAATTTTTTATTTACTATTCGTGAAAATTGTCCTTTAAAAAATAATTCATGACAATACTCATACACTTTTATATATCACTACTAGATTTTGGAGTCGCTCTCAGTACGGACTCAATATTTTACCTATTTTGTGGCTTAGAATTTTGAGAGGCTGTCAATTATTTGTTTGTCTTTTAAATTTATTTTGATTTGTAATACTTTTTATGATATTTTGAATAAGATTTATTATTTTTTATCTCAATTTATGTGACACTGACAGAATTTCGATAGTGAACTGATTTTTTTACTCGTATATGTTTTCTAAAATTTGAAGTTGTTATTGTGATTTATAGTCATTTTAGTCATCTTAATATATATGTTACATTCTTTATTTCAATTTATGTGATATATGAATCAATTCATTTCTTATATGACTTTTAAATATTTAAATTATTAATTAGTATAAAGTTGTTTTCACTTTTTTTCACTTCAATACTCACCAAAAATGTAAAACAATTCTAATTTGTAATGATTATAATCCACAACTTCTATTTTCAAATACTTCTTTATTTTAGAAATAAATTTTTAAGTACACACTAATTACACCTTTAATATACTTTATTAATGAAATATTAAGAATACAATTATTAAAAGTTTTTATAGATAATTTGCCATGAAATCAATAAAATGAAAAGAAACAAACTGAGTGGCAGAGAAATGAAATTGTAATTCAAAAAGTAAGAGATGCATATAAATACGTAAGCAGAAGAAATAAAAATCAATTTAAAGAAAATTGAAAAGTGAAAAGAAGGGATAAAGAAAACATACAAGTTGTTTCTTTTTAAGACGACATAAGTAACATTTCGAGATTTAACCAAACTCTTTATATATGTTTTAAAAATATTTTAATTAATTAATTATTGTCATTTATAATATTTTTTATGCATTTTAAAAAATACATAATATATTAATGTTTTCGAAATTACTATTTTAAAAAAATTATATCAAAGCTACTATTGTACTACTGCTATACTACAACCACTAACACATTACTTTATTTTTTATTAGAATATTTAAAAGAGTTGTGCATTTAAGTGCGTTGTCTTAGAAATATATATATATATATATATATATATATATATATTCATAATTTAAAATGAATACACTATTATAAATTCAATACACTATTATAAATTTTGATCTCAAGAAAATAAAATAAAATTCCATGTTAGTATTCTAGATTTAGTCCAGAATACTCTTATAAAATTTGACTTGTTTTTAAAAAAAAATTCACAATTCATGGCAATTCTATGGATGCCAAAAATTAGCTATTAACTAAACTTTGAAATATATGACTACTTTTGGATGTTATCACTTATGAAAGCTTCTCTAGAAACAAGTTGAGAAGAAAATACAAGATGCCTCTACAAGTAATTGGACAGGTTAAATTAAATTTAAATCGATCAGTATGAATTGAGTTAATAAATGAACGGATTTTGTAAATACAAATGAAAGTCGCTATAATTGAAATGCGAGTCATAACCTAATGTCTTATTTTTTCAAAGTTTTAATTATTTTATTTATTTTCAATAATTTTAATATCTAAATAAAACTATTTTTTTAATCATAGATATATATAAAATGTTAATTAATATAAACAATATTTTTTTGACTAATTGTGATTGGTAATGTTTTCTAATTTCATGTTCAGTTAGTCGAGATTTTCTCCGGGGAAAAAGTTTCTTTATTTTAATTTTTTTTGAAAATAAAGAAAATGACTTCTAAAATTGAAATAGAAAATACAAAATATAGTATAAATATATTTCACAGTGTACTACTAATTAACCTCAAAATTGTTCTAGCATTCAAAAGTCCATGTAAATAATATTTTATCTGTCTTAATTTATATGATATTTTTTATTTTTAAGAGTTAAACAATTTAAATTTAATCGATAATTTATGTATGAAATCTTTAACTTTTTAAAATGATATTTATATAATTATAAACGACATAAAAAGTATAATAAATCAATAATAATTAATAAGTCAAAATATTAAAAAATATATATGAAAAACTTATAATTAAAAAATAAATTAGCTTAAATCTAGAAATTTAAAAAGTTAAATGAAACAGAAGGAATTTAAAATTTTTAATTACATGGTACGCATTCCAAGGACTCCTGTCTTAATAAGCACCAATCACGGACCGAAGAGTCATATTACACATATATAATAGTATTAATAGGTATGATTATATATAAAAAATAAATATAACGTCAAGAAGAATTTTGAATTTCTTTACATATCGAGTTAATCTTTAATTTTATTTCGGTTCAAAATATATATACATAAGTAAAAAATAAAAATTAAATTATATATGATGTGTAAATTTTTGTCTATGATCTTCGGGTGAGCAATATTATTTTCTCTTAGATCCGCTCTAGAATGTATCAGTGAGACATAAACTCATAACTATTATATGTTAAATAATAACATCTCCAATTCAAATTCGACAAATTGATTGTTTAACCCATAAACTTAAAAAGTTGAAAAAAATTATACTTTTATTTAATTAATTATATAAGAAACCATAACTTACTTCAAAAGCCAGATCCCATATAGTGACAATTCAGAAAGTTAAAATCAACAAAAACATCGCAAGTATGATCAAAATGAGTTAGTGAACCTCAATCCAATATCATATAAAATAACGAGTCGTTTGACATAAGGTATAATAATTCTAGTAATAAAATACATGATTATTTTATTCTATGTTTGATTGGAAGTATTAGACCGCTTCTTATATTTTGATAATGTAATAAATTATCTCATATATATAATAAAATAACTTATACCCAATCAAACGACCTATTCAAAATCAAGCAGAGTGGGAGTGGTTTATAGAGTGGGGTGAGGGGTTCACATGTCAGATACAAGAATCTCACGGACGAACAATGGCTGGCTGGAAAAAGCCACAAGAAAAGGACACAAGCAACCTATACAACCTCATGTGTTTCTATACACAAATCCTTGTCCTTTCTATAACCCCACATGCACCCGCTCACCGAGTCAGAATTTTTATTAAAAAGATATATAAATTTATAGTATTATGATTTAATTACATTATATCTCAATTCTTTTTTAAATTACAAAAATTCCTTAAGATTTACGTATTTCGGATACATTACTGGACTTTCAAATATATTACCAGGTACATAGATGAGAGATGTATTTAAAAGGGGAGGAATGTATCATTGAAGGAATAGGATATCCGAATACATAGCCGAGGAATGTATTAGAGAGGGATAAAGATATATCAGCGAGAGGACAGTAATGCATCCTATTTTTGATTTTTTGAAAACATTAAAAAATACAGCGAAGAAATAAATGAGACGCAACATCTATTATATACGATGTAATTTTCCGTCTCCAACAAATCTCTGCCACCTATCATTCTTCCAATTATCCTTCAATCATAACACCAACTCCCTCTCCTTCATTCCAAAATTATCACTAACATTAATGGCTTCCACTTCAATATCTACAAGATTTTTCTTAATTTGTGTTGTTATTAATTTTTTTTCTTTATCACTAGCCTTACACATATCACCATCTTCTTCAATTTCAGCTGCCCCTGCATTGTTACCAAATCCACCTGCTCTGTCTCCTGATATAAGTCCTCTTTTTCCTTCACCAGGTGGCTCTGAGCTTGCTCCTACTGATTCTTCATTACCCTTAATTCCTTCTACCCCTAGCCCTCCTAATCCTGATGCTATGATTGCTCCTGGACCTCTTTATATGCCGTTTTCGCCTACGCAGTCTCTACCGGTGTCCTCTGCTGTTGCTCTGTTTTCATCTTTATGTACAATGGTGGTGTTGAGTTTGATGTCCACCTGGTTTACGCAGCTCCTTCGTGTGTGAAGGTTCAATGATGTTTGGTTGTGAGGTATTTTTGATGAAGTTTCACACTGATTTGTTTACTATGTTATGATTTATTTATGTACTATACTCTTGGTAGTGTATAATTTGTTTGTTGTATTACATTTTCATTGTCAAATAACAACGAAATAAGCACAATTTTTTTTTGTTTAGTTTATCTCAAGATCTGTATTTTGGTTCTTTTGTTGAATGAGTATAATGTAATTAAGTAGATGTAGTGCCAGAGTCACATGTATTCGAGGAGTGTTAACTGATCAGAAAATTATATTTTGTAGATAGGTAAGAAGTGTTTTTTTCTTTTTATTGTGTTGAATGAATTGTGGTGTTGTTGAATTCTCTTGATTTATAGGTATATTTACTTGTTTATACTTGGACACCTCTGGTTTAATTTTCTAGTTCTGTCACTACGAATATTAAGGGGTAAAAACGGTGGGAAAAGGCTTGAAACACTTTTCTATGGAGATGGGATTACACGAGGGGTCAACACTTAGTCCGTTTCTATGTGCCTTGGTGATGGATGTATTTATGCGAGACATTTTAAATAAGGTGTTGTGGTATATGTTATTTGTGGATGACATAGGACTGATTGATGAGACGTGTAGTGAAGCTAATACTAAGTTAGATCATAAATGCATAGACATGAACTTTGAAGGCTAAAAGATTCTAGTTGAGATAGACCAAAATTGAATATGTGGAGTGCAAATTCAGTGATTGAAGCATGAGGTAGGCGTGGATGTGAAGCTTGACATACAAAATTATCCTTAAGAAAGATGAATTCAAGTATCTTAGGTCTATAATTCAGAAGAGTGAGGACATCAATAATGATATCACACACCATATTGATACAATATGGGTGAAATGGAGGCTTGCCTCTTGACTTTTGTGTGATAAGAAGGTACCGTCAAAGCTCAAAGATAAGATCTATAATGTGGTGGTTCGACCACTATTGTTGTATGAGACTGAATCTTGATTAGTCTAAAAGATGCATGTTGTAGAGATGAGAACGTTGAGATCAGGTGAGGTCATACAAGGAGTCATAAGACTATAAATGAGGATAACCAAAATAAGGTAAGATTGATATCTGTTGTGGACAAAATGAGGGAAGCGGGAAATGGTTTGGACATGTGAAAAGGAGATGCATAAACACACAAATAAGGAGGTGTGAGAGATTTGTTATGAGGTATGATAAGAGGCATAAGTAGGTCGAAGAAGTCCTAGAGAGGTGATAAAACATGATATGAAACAACTTCAGGTTACTGAGGATATGACTCTTGATATGAGGGCATGACGACATGTATTAAGGTAGAATATTTTTGTAGGTAGTGTCGCGATGTCTTGCTTATGGTGATTTGTGTTTGCGACAGTACTAGTTGTAGTATTGTAGTGCATCATTTTTTATTATTTATTTTGTATAATCCATCCTAGTGTATTGTTTATAGAGTTTCGATTATCACATGATTTTATTATTGTTTTGGTTCCTCTCTAGTAGACCTTTGCACTGTTTCCTTTTTATTTGCTATATTTTTCTCGTTGTCTCCATCTTCTTTATATCGAGATTTGTTGCACTTTAAAGAAGGGTTTTTAGAAACAGTCTCTTTACCTCCACGAAGTAGTAGTAAGGTCTACATACATTCTAACCTACCCAGACATCACTTGTGGAATTGGACTAAATATGTTGTTGTTGCCACTACTTAAACAATTGCATCGTGTAGGTAGGGGTGTTAAGTGTTTGGATACAAATCGATTTAAATCGAAAAATCAAATCAAACGACTTTATTTGGGTTCGATATGGTTTAAATTTTTAAGAATCGATAATATGTGATTTGATTTTGTTGAGAAAATTGAAAAACTAATATGAACTAAGCCGACAAATTGTATCCATACATTTTATAATTATATATACATAATAAGTTATTTTTTATGAACAATGGTAAATATCTTATATATGTTTTTCATCAAAATTTATTTATGAAAGATGTCCAAAACGAGAATATTTATCCTTTTGATTTCTCATGTATATGAGTGTCTATGACAGTTATTGGTGGCAATGGTGGAGCCATATACACTGTGGGATCTCTACCGACACCTTTTCATCGAAAATTTATATTATTTTTTCAGATATAATTTTTTTCGATGTGTATATACATATACATTACATGTTGATACTCCTTAACTTCTATGCAATTTTGCTTCTTTATATTTTGATAACCCTTGATCAAAATTCTACTCTGCCACTACTTGGTGGGATTAGAAATGTCACTCTCTCTTTTGTCTTGGCCAAAATAGTGAATTGTGAACTTTTATTTACGATAAAATCGAAAGTTTTGTAATCAATAAACGATTCAAACTGACCCATGAACACAACATATCTGGCTGCTGACTTATGCAATTGTAAATTGTGGTAGTATCCAAAAGAAAAAATGAACCTAGAACTGATTATTTAATACTTCATTACTACTCTATAATGCAACAAATTGGTCAGACCAATAATACTAAGAAGAATAACTTAGATCAACTCCAATCCAATACTATATCTTATACCAAATCTTACTTTGAGTTAGTGTTTTTGGATTCTAACTCAATATTATTTCTTACACTATTTTAGTGGGTGATTAGTGCATTTTAAATAGCCAAAATTCAATTCACACTATTTTTTACACCATCACAAAAATGAAAACTGCATACGTAATATGTTGTTAATAAATAACGCAATGCATTTTAAAGAACCAATTAATAAACATTCATTAATAATATATTGTATTTCATCATTAAATTCACTTTATTTGTGTTATCCATATATATATAATGTATAATGTATAATATTTGTCAGCAACTTATATTATCCAATAAATTATTATATAAAATTATTTTATGTCAAATGATTACATAAAAAAAAGATTGTTAATCATATTGGGTGAATATGTGAAAAAAAGAAAGAAATGATTTGCTTTATGAAATAAGAAAGTATAAATATAATAAAAAATAATAATATAATATATAAAAGGAAAAAATATTAAAAAAGGAATATTCATTTTAATAAAAAATTTAGTAAATGAGTTAAAGTTGGTTTACCCTTTACATTAGGGTTGTGTATTCATTGAATCGGTGATTATTAATACGAAGTATTGATTATTGATTTAAAATTATAGGATTATTAAGATATTTACTTGTTAATTTATTGATTATTAATTGTTATCAATTTGATTATTGATTTAATCGATAAGATTTGACACAAAAAAAATATTGAAATTCTCTCATAAACAAAATGACAACCAAGTGAACCATGCACAAGAATAATTGAATATGATAATATAATCAAATAAAGGGGGCTTCAAGACTTTCTTCTTCTTACTACTCGCTCCAAGTATTTCACTTGTTCGCAATTATCAGGGGTATGCTCTACCAATGAGCTAATACCCGTCGTGTAGGCCTCCCACTGGGAGCCCGCTATGCCAAAAGCGAGAGAAACTCCATCCCTCTCTTTTCCTTTTTCGGACCTGAACCCTCTTCTTCCGATAAGAGCTATCTAACCTCTATTGTCTTGCTATAACCTAATCTTACTCGCTATTACCTCCCTGTCTGTTTTCTTTTCTTTCTTTTTTAGAATATTTGCCTTGTTGCCTTTGCTCTCATTTGGGCCTTGGGAATCCCTTGCTTTTGGTTATGGTCTTCGTTTACCTTTTTCATTTCCCCGTTGGAAAGAGGAAGCTAGGAGAGGATTCTAAACAATTCTATCGAGCCGAACAACAAAAAGAGAAAGATGGATTATCTTTTTTAGCTAGCCTAGCGTGCTATACTAACACACTGTAAAATAGTTAAAATTTGGTGCTATATTGACACACTGTCAAATCGAAGACATTTCTTTCCTTGACATATTTCATCTTGTTAAAGAGCAATACTGACACACTATAGAATAGTTAAAATTTTGTGATAACTAGAAAAAAGAACATGAAACTAAACCTTAGGTCAAGACTTTATATACTGAAATTGTATAAATAATTTATTAACTTTCTATCATGTTATGAATTAGAGTGTTAAAAGATGTATAATTTGATAATAAAGAAAATCAAAAATCATTTTAAAAATTGCTAAACTAATTCATTATCAATAACTATTTTTTGCGATTTCGATTGAGTCTTGAAATACCTACTTTACACTAAAATAGTATTCACTAGAATTTGGTGGATATGGGTATTTAGAATAGCAAATGAAATAAGAGTACTTATTAGTCCTCTTTTCTGCTTTTTGTTCCCCTACCAAAAGTCTCCAACAATGGCCGAGGCCCCTTCAGTCCCTGCACCAACCGGGTCGGATCCTGATTACTGGTGCTACCAGTGTGAGACACGAGTTGCCGTCGAAACCCTACCCGATCTCCCCGCCGATGTCATTTGTAACAACTGTAAGAGTGGCTTCGTCGAGTCCATACCCTCACGTGTTGTATCTGTCTCACCGGTGACGGCGTCTACTGATCAGATCGATGACCCTGCTTTCGGCAATCAGTTCATCCAGGTTCTCCGCCTCATAGCTGAGGCGGCGCTTGACAACGACGCGCCCCCTCCCCCGCCTTCTGAGCACGCTGATCCTTCCGATGACGATTTCCTCCGTGTCGAGCTGGACGGTTGGGGAAACGACGAAGAGGAGGAGGAGGATGATGATGAAGAGGAGGAGGAGGATGATGATAATGGAATCGGGGTTAGAATTGGCGATGACAGAGAAAATCGCGGGAATCGAAGCCAATCTGAGGATGACGATGATGATGATGTTGATGATGATGAAGAAGTTGAGAATAGGGATGATGATGAAGAGGATCTTCGGAGAAGGCGGAGGGATGTGCTACGTCTCCGGCTACGTGACTTCGCCGCCAGAGCTGCCAATCGGCGAAACCGGATTCTGGACTGGGCAGAGATTCTGATGGGACTGGAAGACCACTCTATTGAGCTCCGGTTACAAGTTCCTGATGGCGATGGCTACGTCGGGAACCC